CAGCTCTGCGGAGGGACACAGGGGCAGGAGTCTGCCCAGCACTGCTCTGCCAGCAAGGTGCTGGGATAGGGTGAGGTTGAGCACACTGTGGGTGCAGGTTGGGAGCCTTGCCTGGTTCCAAGCACTTCCCAGACTCCAAAGATGCCAGGGTGGGGGCTGGGACCCTTAGTTAAGGTTGCAGAGATGTCCCTGGGAGGCTCCATCATGAGAGAAAGTTTTCCTGCTGGAGAAGCTAATGCTGCAACTTGGCTCTTGTGTTACATACACGAGGGAGGCATTTAAACAATCACTGTCCTCGTGCAGCTTTCACACACAGAGCCTGGCAGCTCTGCAGCCTTTGGAGGGAAGCTGGTGGGGTGGAGCCTGACCCAGGAGGATCCATTTCTCCTGACATCTTTAAGTTGCCAGAAGCTGCCTCTCAGCCAGCCCCAGGGATTTTACTGAGCACCCACCTGGCCAGGAGGATATCCCATTGTCCAGACCCACCGAAGGGCCAGGACCCACAGTGCATTTGCCAGGTACCAGCTGCAGGTCTTCAGCCCATGGCACAGATGATGGAGCTCATTTTTGTGTCTCCAAGAGTGGTCCAGTAGCAGGAGACTAGGGAGAGACTTTGGGAAGAAGGCAGGCACGGAGAGCAAATGTCAGGTGTTTGTGCCACTCCGCAGGTGACAGCCAAAGGTGTCACCTCCCACCTGCCTGCCCCTGGGCAGGGCAAGGGCTGCGTGGTCAGATGCTGCCCAGTGTGGTGGACCCTGCCCCACAGCACTGGTGACCAGATGATGGTGAGTGCTGATGCAGTTTCTCAGCCTGCAGATCACCCTTTTGTTCAGCAGTACATCCCAGATGTGCAGTAAAACAAACTAGTTGCTGTTGGCTCTGCTCTTTGCTAACCTCAGGTTTATTTGCTCAGTAATTTATCAGGCAGGGCCCAGGCCAGCATCATGGCCAGGGTCACCATCAGACTCCACCAAGCACCAGGAGGGCAGGGGTGTGGCACCAGTGCTTTGATCTGCTCATCCTTCTGGTGGCAGCTGGGGATTCTGCCCTGGCTCTGCTCCCTGAGGGTAAATAACTGTCCCCTTCCAGGCCCCAGGCTGCTGCAGGCTGGCAGCGTGTCCTGCTCTGCTCCAGCTGGGCCTGGCAGTGCCCACCTGGGATCCAGCTCCAGCAAAGAGCAGCTCAAGTGCAACGGGACCTGGTGGAAAAATCCAACCCTGCCCATCCTACCAAGCAGGGGCACAGTGCCTGGAGAATGCAGAGAGCTTCCAGCACCCTGTGCTCATGTCTTTGATCACTTTGGTGGTTGCCAGGATGCTCTCCCAGGAAAGCCATGGACCTTGCTGAGCCACCACTGCAGCGCAGGGGCCAGAGGCAACCGTGAGGTCTGCTGGGTGCAGGACACCATCTCCAGCCCATGGGCTGTCTCAGGGGGCATCTGCAGCCTCAGAGGCAGAAAGGTTGCTCACTCCATAGCCCGGTGGCCAGACAGAGCTGTGCTGTGCCCTGGCTGAAGCCTCTGCTGCTGGCCTGGTGCTGGCACAGCAGGAACCCAGCCAGCAGCCTGACCCTTCCACGTGATGACGCTGGTGGGTCAGAGCCACCTTGTAAAAGCAGCCTGACCCTTCCTTATTTGACCTGCCACTGTGCCACTGGTGGCAAACACATAGTTCTATAGGTCAGCAGGATGGCAACCTGGATCACTGGGTGATGGGTGCACAGTGGGGGTGGCACCAGGGCTCCTGCAGCGTGCCCGCTGCGGGGGCGCGGGGTGGGACCCGAGCTAATGACCTGCTTGGTGATGACTATGCCAGGAAAGAGACTTTGCCTGGCAATGGAAAGGGAACTAATGCATTGCCAGGTTATTTAATCTCAATAAATCATTTTAAAATATTCAGCTGTTATTTACATTAAAGCAACATTTGATGCCTCTGGGCAGAAACAGAGGAGATTCAATATTTGTCATACATTAATTGAGCCAACTAAGGTGAGTAAATTGACTCTAATAGTTTTTTGCCTAATAATATTAAGCCTAAGAGAGAATGAAGGTGGGGTTTGCTGGGGCTCAGAGCTGTGTAAGTGGTGGTTCCTCACTGTCTGATCATGTTTTATAACGAGAGTTTTCTCTTCGTGCCTTGATCTAGTGATGGTTGTGCATGTCTTTATTTTTAAGCATGTGTCTAACTTCTATTAACTTAAGGGTAAAACAGGCTGTGTCCTACCAAATTAGCCTATGTAGGTAATAATGAGGTAGGCAGTGAATTATTTTAAGTCATGAATCTATTCCCAGTTTCAGCAGTCTCATGACACCCGTTTTTGGGATGTGACATGATCAGCTAAGCGTGACTAGCAGAAGCCAAGGAGCCATGGTTCCCTTCCACCTGCAGAGCTGCAGCCCACCAGCAGCTCTTGGTGCTCCCACAGCACTGGCTGAGCTTGGCCAACGTCGAGGCTCTGACTTTGCCAAGACATTGGATTTCTGGCAACTTGCTCCGATCAAATCTTAATAATTTCAGGTCCCACGACCACAGACCAGTGCTGGTTCCTGAAAACCTGACATGGGCTGTTGAAAGCAATGGGCTTGGCCTCCTTGACACCCCACCTGACCATTTCTCATCGACTTCAGCAGCAGTGGTGGGTGTCTCATGCTGCCTTTCTGGCAGCCACTGCTCCAAGAGCTGCCCGGCCAATGCTTTGATGTTGGGGTCCCTTTGGTTGCACCCACATTACCTTGACTTTCCCTGCTGTAGGTTCCAGCCCCATTTGTGTCTCCCAGCACCACCCACAATCTTTGTTTTCTTGGCTGTGAGGGCACCCAGCCCATGGTGTGGGGTAGCCCAAGGCTCTGCACCCCTCAGTGTGGCCTCAGCTCATCCCTGGGCCACCACAGACCTTCTCTGTAGCAATGTGAGAGCAGCAGGTGCCCAAGGAAGACGTTTACTTGAAAATCTGGATCTCTGTGAGCAGTCGTGGTGGGTGAGCAGAGCACGAGCACTGTGTGACAGCAGCAGCTACACAGGGGTTTAGGGTTTAACCCCAGGGTGGGCTTCAGGAGCTGCAGGTCTGAGCCTGGGCAGGGTGTCCTGCAGAATGGCCCATCACACACGTGAGCAGTGCAGCCAGCGAGCCCTGAGCTGAGTGAAGCTGCCCACGTCAGCACTGCTGGTGGAGGGTGTGCACAGCAGGGATGACAAAAGGGGCAGACGTGCCTCAGAAGTTCCTCTGAATCTCCTGGGATGGAGACTCTGCATGGAGACACAGCTCCTGACTTGTGCCCCTCCTCAGCAACCCATCAGCAGCCATTGCTGTCAGAGGCTGCCTCTGAAAAGCTTTTCAGGGCATTTGTTGTCCAGCCACAGCAAGCTCACATGGGCTGCAGCCTGGTGTGTGTAAGCCAGGAACTGCACCATTTGGGAAGCTGGTAGGACCTCTGGTTTCCACACAGGTGTACTTCCCACCTTAGCATGGGAGCTAGTGAGGAAGGGACATCATGTGAGGGCACTGCTGCCATCCCCAGTGAGAGCCAGTGTTGCTGCAGGCGTTAGGGCAGCCCAAGCTGCAGCAAGCTGGCTGTGGTACACAGGCTGTGAGCCTGTGGTGGTGCTGGTTAGGTCTGTAGCAACCCATCACAGTACAGAACCCAGTGCCAGCATTGTCTCTGCTGTAACAGGTCAGCCCAGGAGTCTTGCAGCCCAGCAGCATGCCCCAGCGTGCCCAGTAGTGGCTGCTTAGGGCAAACCAGTAAGCTGGTGGTTACAGAGTGAGCCTGCACCCTGTCCTTGCCCTCCTCATAGTGGGTGGTTTCTGCTCATGCATCGATAAAGCTTTTTTTAAGGCTCCAAGTCCTTCCCTCCTAGAGGAGGATGTCTGTGGGCAAGGCCAGCGCTTGGCACCTCTCAGGAATAGTAAGTGAATCACCTCCCAAATCCCTTTGTGCAGGCATGGAGCACAGGTGAGGTGTTTCACCCCTCCAGGGATCACAGAGGTGAGGTTCTTGCGTGGGTGTGGGTGGGGCTTTCGTGGCATTAGCCAAAATGCTGATGACTTTCCCTGCAGGGAAGTAATGAGCACTCTTTTATTTAATGTCTCTATCTTGGTTTTGGCCTTGATGCTGTAGGTATAACAGTCTGGTGACTGGCAAGCGGGCAAGAGGACTCATTGCTGTGCTGTGGCTCCTGTCCTTTGGCATTGGGCTGACTCCACTGATGGGCTGGAACAAAGCCATGAGCGGTTGTCCCAATGGCACCAACGAGACGGGGGCTGAGGCTGGGACAGAGCACCACGGCTGCTTCATCTCCTGCCTCTTTGAGAACGTGGTGACGATGAGCTACATGGTGTACTTCAACTTCTTTGGCTGCGTGCTGCTGCCGCTCGTTATCATGCTGGGCATCTACATTAAGATATTCATGGTCGCCTGCAAGCAGTTGCACCAGATCGAGCTGATGGGCAACTCCAGGACCACGCTGCAGAAGGAGGTCCACGCAGCCAAGTCCCTGGCCATCATCGTAGGACTTTTTGCCTTCTGTTGGCTGCCCCTGCATATCTTGAACTGCATCACTCTCTTCCACGAGGAGTTCTCCCGCTACAAGCCCGAGTGGGTGATGTATGTGGCCATCATCCTCTCCCACGCCAACTCTGTCATCAACCCCATCATCTACGCCTACAGGATCAGGGACTTCCGCTACACCTTCCGCAAGATCCTTTCCAAAATCCTCTGCAAGAGGGACGACTTCCCCAAGTGCACCACTGACAACAACCAGCACCTGGCTGCCAACAACGTCCACTCTCCAGTAGCCTCCGTGACCATATGACCGCGCACGTCCCGCGCTCTGCCGGGCACTCTGCCCTTCCCTGTGCCACGTGAACTCCCCCGGGCTGCCCAGAGACCACCACCATGCAGTTAGGCAGCTGTATTCTGATTTTATTTTTGTAATTAACATAGTGAGTGCCTCTTAGAGGAATAACCTGACCGGGGAGACCGAGTGCTGGTGAGTGTTTCGTGTTCCCCTTCCAGGTCAGACATTGACTGTGGAAGACCCACCTGCTGGGTGTCTTTCCCCAGTTGTGCTGCTCATGTCAAGTCCTAGGATCTTTATTTTAATTATTATTATTATTATTTTTT